ATGAAGGCGAGAGTAGGCGGCTGCAGTGAGGGGAGGAGTGAAATAAGCGCAGGCAAGACGGACAGTTCTGACCTCTAGAAGTGAACAGATAACAACGAGATCAAAGTCAGATACCGCGTTATTCTCACGTGCTGTGTTGCTAATAAACATGATATAATTTCAGTTCTGTTGCTTTTATATGAAAATAAATATGATGAACAAGACACTCAAAGTGCTTGCTATTTAATTCCATACGAAAGGTGTATTTATCATCCATTTTTACTTGAATACAAACATGTATTTTTGATTTTTATAGAAATATGACAACAATCACATCTCACACAGAGAGAAAAGTTGTTCTGTCTGCTTTGGAAGTCTGTCTACTAAACAAAAAAATAAAAGACAAAGTGATTTCACTGGATTGCCAATTTTGCAAGTAAAATGCAAATTTTTCATAAGTGTTATTTGAAGTGTAACTGAAAGCCTATGTTTGTCACATAGTGAACATAGACTAGTACCAGTATGATGTGGCCTTTATACATTCCATTGCAATGCTAAGTAGTCTATTCCATGACCAATATGATGTAGGCAATGTTAAAATGGTGTCTTGCAAGCAGCATGGAAGTTCCTTTTATTGATGTCTGTGACAAGAGAAAGCTCCCTGTTCGTGTAGTTGGAAATCATCCTCTGAGGTAGCCTGTAGGAAACTGATGCAAGGTTTTGCTAGGACACGGGCGATGGTCAGTAGTCTGGACTGAAACTCAGAGAGTGTGATTGAATTTCAAATACTTGAAAGAATATTTCATTATTTTTGATACAAATACAAGAATGATCTACCTTCTTGTGTGGATTTAGATATCTAGTTATTAGTTAGAGCCCAGAATTTTGTGATTGAAGTGCACACAATGGATTGTGGGAGCTGGACAATTCAGTGCTTTCTAAGTAATTAATACAATTTTAAAAATAGTTGACAGGCAGCCAGTGTATTGGCAATAAAATGGGGCTGATGTGACCATATTTTTTGTTTCTTGTTAAGTACTAAAAACACATCTCTTCCATCTTTATTTGACCCTCTAACTCTAGCTCTCTCTATTCTAATTCTATTCTTTAAAAAAAAACTTGTCCCTTTTAGCCTTGCACTCTGTTCATTTACTAACTGCTTGTTTTTCTTTAAAAAAACCTAACACTAGCTTCTCTAATCTTTTTATATTCTATCCATTTGTTTTCTTTTTATTTATTATAGAATTAACAAAAGCAAAAAAAGGCCTCTAACACTAGCTTGTTCTGTTCTTTTTCTATTCTATCAGTTTTCTTTTTATTATATCATTTAAAAAAAAACTTGCTATGTGTACTGCATTAAGCTAACTGAGACTTGTTATAGCACTTGCATATCATTGCTCTTTTGTTGATATTGATTTCTTCCATTGTCCTCATTTGTAAGTCGCTTTGGATAAAAGCGTCTGCTAAATGACTAAATGTAAATGTAAGTACTCAAGCTGCTACATACACAACTAGCTGAAGCTTATTTATTGAGCAGGACATTGACCGAGGACATTTACCCAGTAATGCGTTACAGTAGTAGTGAATCATGCACGCATAAAATAATTTTTCAGCATCTGAAACACTAACTTTGTCATAATTTAGCAATATTTCTAAGATGGGAAATGCTGTTCTACATGTGATTGTCAAAGGACCGATTGCAGTCAAATGAGATCTGTGTTCTAAACTGTTCTAGATTATGTAACAATACATCCATCAAGACTCAAATTAATAAACCTGCATCTTATTTTTTGAGGTTTTGGACCAATAATTGTTTCCAGTAGTGTCTTGCAATGAAGACGAGAACAGTGACAGTAGTGGTGATAAAATGCATGAGGAAGATTAGAGAAGAGCAGTATTAAATATGAAGAAGAGGAGAACAATGATGAATGGCAGTGGGAGCAAGATGCAGTCACTATCCTTATCCCTGAGTCTGTAGAACTGCCAGATCTGTTTGGAATGCAACAAGAAAACATGCTGAAATTTTAAAACGTATTCAGTATTCTGCAGTTTATTCTGCAAGTCATAGCCCCTTTCCAGCTCATCCAAGAGTGTTTTTAAACAGTTAAGTAGCCAGGGTTAATGCCACTTTAACAAATATCAATAAATGTCAGTGAACTCTCTAAATTAAACCCAACAGTGATCTTGATTTTTGTTCTGTATTCTAATGATATGTGCACTTATGATGCTTTACAGTGGCAAAACTTGGGATGACACATGGGAGCCTGCCAGCAAGTTCCAACATGTTTTGCCCGAGTCTCCACATCCCAACCAGCTTTCACCATGACAGTGATTTTTCTCCATGATTGTTTTGTTGTTGTTGTTTTGCTTGCTGTTCTTCATTAAAGTTTTTGCACAGTGCACTCTTTTATTATTTTTTAAAAAGTTGTAATTTTAAACAACTTTTGGAGAGGATACTGTACTACATTTGTCTTTAAAGTTTGACATATTGATACATTTTTTGGAAATGAGTACATGTATATAAGCAGAATATATATATATAAGCAGAAATTAAACGTTTCGAAGTAGTTTATTATTTATTTCTCATACAGTACACAGCTGTCACAATTAGTTACCCTCTGGTTCATAACATGGAAATCAATAGGCCCTTTGGAAAAAAAGACTTACTAATCTGTTTCTACATCAGGTTAGCCCCAGATAGGAATCTATAACTGTAAAATTATATTTTTATTTTTAATGAAGACGAAACATATTTAACTGACCTTCTGTTATAACCCACCTTCAGCCGGAAGATCCCGTAATTACCATATTTGGACAAGTGTGACGTGGATTTTGACGCGCTGTGGCGGGACCATAGATTGAAAAAAAAAAAAAAAAAAAAACGGACCCCCTTTGAACAATGAGGTATTGCTATGTTGCAAGAAATTATCCTTTTACCGAAATCCTAACCCTAACCCTACAGCACAAGTACACACTTCAATGAACTACAATTTACAGCGCCATGTCCCATCGATAGAGGGGCAAAGGCTTATGGGTAATGTAGTTTAAACGTATTTTAGTCATTAAATTAAGTAAATACTATCTTTAGTGAACAAAGGGATATCTAAATATGTTCATTGTGCAAACCTTTATAATATATTTGAGAGCCACGTTGAAATTTGGTATTTTACTAAGAACACTTTTTAAAACACTTTTTTACAAACTTTCTGTATATGTGAGAAAACTGTGTCCAACATTATTTATTAAACATAGCATAAGTAGTTGTCCTGCTGATTTTCTCTTTGATATGCCTATTGGACTTTGAGTTACAGCCATTTGAAATGTGCAGTTTTTTTCCTCTTCCAGGGGGCGCTACTGGTCCCCTGGGGGTGGAAGGGCAATAAAACCTATACAGATGTACTATCTTTATCATGGAGAACAAACTGTTGTCACATTTATGCCTGAACATTTTTATTTATTTCTGCCCCTTTCTATATTTACAACATGCTTGTGTTAGGTTTTGATGGTACTGTGAGACTCTGAAATCAGAATACAGAAATACAGTAAAATTTTACACAAATATTTTAAAGTTGCATGTCTAGGCAACATATTGATCATTTCATTATATATCATTCATTTTCCTTTAGCAAAATGGCAATGGATGAACTTGCATTTAGTGTTGGGAAATAATTATTCCTCCTTATCATAATGGTTTTCTTTGTCTTGCTTGTCTATGTCCCTATTATAATCTGCTTATTCCATGTCTCTTATCTCTTATAATTTATTTATCAACTTATAAACAAATTAGTTGCCAAATAATTTTTTGCCAATTGACTAATTGTTTTGGCTGTACTTATACTGTAGGTATAAACTACTGAGTAGTTTTATTTATACCAAAATGTTATATTTTATAAGCTCTTCATGTGCTGTCAAGTTCAGTAAAAAAAAAAGTTTTTTCTTTGAACTGTAGCCTAGTAGAAATACACAGTGGCATGAGAAGAAACAAATCATCTAGAGTACAAGTACCTCAAATCTGTACTTTAGTACAGTACATGACTTAGCCTTACAATAATGCACTTAATTTCCACCACTGACTGGTTGTAGAGGCATGCATGCTTTCATTTCTATGTATGTGAAAAAAAGACACTACACTTTGGTATTTATAAGGTGATGAAAAGCAGATTTTATTACACACTTTAGATTCAGGGTTAAGGTCAAGGTCACTGTCAAGAAAATTTATAAACAGTAATCATTGTTGTGTATGTTTATTAGGGCTGCCCCATAATAGTAACGCAACAACGTTAGTCTGTCAGAAAAGTCATAGTTGGACTAATTTGGATTGGTTGTGCAGTTGCAGAAAAAAAACCCAAGCAAACAAACTCCACAGCGCCTGGTGACTCTCACGGACAGATATTATGGATTACACGGATCAGGACAGTTCTCTGAGGGTCTCAGCACAAGTTGAAAGATATTTCCAATGGTTGTCCATCTCTGTAACAAGAATCTTCTGCTCCTCCTGAAGTCTCCTTACTGACATGATGATGTCAAATGCCTTTCTCTTTGTCCTTAGATCGACAGAGTCTGGAATGCATGAGAAAAACTTACGTCATGCATCAACCTTCAAAGAATCTTTAAAATAATTTGGGGCTGCAGATTGACATTTGAAGCATTGTGGGTAATGTCAATTATGTATAAGAATTGTCAGAAGACTAGTGTACATACCACTGTGTGGTAGCTGCCATGGCCAAGCTGTCTCACCAGACAAAATGGTTTCCAAGCACAGTTTCTGTGTTTGGAACCATTTTGTTGTATTTCTCTACAACTGATGTCAAGATCCCCTTCTCCTCCCTGATCTTGCGGCGGATCCTGGCACGACCTTTGTTGCCATCTGTATCTTTATAGAGACGCTGGGAACGTCTCTTGATACTTGCCACCAGCAGCTCAATTCTGCTGGCCAAGGCATCAACATCATTTGTGTTTGTTGTTGTTGTTGCTGAGAAGAAATAGGTGGGACAAAATTACAGTAACAGTAACAATTACAATTATTCATGACTAAGTGTATTACTAGTAATCATTTCCTCACCGTCTGCCCACTCCTTCACAACACTGACCCAGTCTTCCAGTCTGTCACTGCCAGTTCGGCTTTCATGGATTCTAGGTTTTGCAACTGGTTTTGCAGAGCATTTGTGGTCTACAATGACAAGCAATAACAGATTGTACAAAACAAGAACCAAAAGTTCAATGCAAATACATTAGCATCAAACAGCTTTTCAACCCACAATACAAAGACATTAACAATACTGTAGGATAAATAAATTCAATACTCACACGACCAAAGCGGACAGTTCGCTGATCCAGCATTCTTAAAAATGCTTGGCAGGACAGTCCTGGTGCTGCCATCTTCATTTCTTCGAATGAAAAAAAGACATCTGTGGCATAAATTGTGGCAAAGTGAAGGGTCGCAGGCCAGTAGTCACTTCGATTTAGGTCGACCACTCCAGCAGCCCAAGTGGCTTGGCATGCCTCACATCTCAACTCAGGCATGTTTAGATCATATCGTCCTAGAAAAATAAAAAACACATCCACTTTAATGTAAACCTTATGTGATTAATAAGGGTTTGGATTCTTTAAACAATTTTTACACTACTTTGTATTCTTTTTAAACATTAATCAAAAGTCATGTGTAGATTTTACATACAGACCTGTGCCAAACTTATGGGAGTAGAGCATGTATAGATTTTTATCTTCACACCCTTACCATTCATTGTGATCACAGCAATAGTCTTCCCTGGGCTGACCCTAAATGACTCTGGTGAACAACCACAAATGTTGTCAGGAATCTCCACAGGTACAAGCCGCACTGAAAAAGATCAAACATGTGAATTAAGATCATTTGTATTGACTGAGTAGTATAACATTGTAATGGTTCAATGGTAATGAAGTACATTGCTGAAAAAGTATACAAGAGATGCTCAAAAAGCTCACAATAAGACAAACAATAAGAGACAAAAAGGCATTATTTAAATAGTAAAGCTTATGAGGCCTAACGATATTTTAGAATGATATTTATGTTGTACAGTCACAAACCAGAACTTACCACAATGGGAAAGAGCCTTATCTACAACAAAAGTTGTTGGAGGCAATGGCTGGTAGAATCCAGCAGTCATGGCATCTCGGTTATGGAGAACATGTCTGGTGTGCATGTTGACGTCACATTCAGCACAGAAGAAGGGGCACAAATAAAGTGTTCAAATGGCCGTGATCCCGACTGGTTGGTTATTGCCGCTTACACTGGCTGCTCAATCGGCCAGCTGCAAGAGCGCTCCGAGTTTAACGTGTTCCCTACCACTGTCTCTGCAATTAAATATATTATTTTATGATTATTAATATATTCTTATAAGTCTAGTCTTTTAAACTGTGGACATTTTAGGGAGGTTTAGTGACGAGTTGGGAGTGAGAACGTGTTGGATTGACACAGAGAAGAGTCCTTGACTTGAGCAAGTTAGGCTACCATTGACAAAGCACCTTTACATAAAACAATAATATATTGCTCCAATCCGTTCTTATAATAATGATATTGACTAACTGATGAAACGATACAGTTTGTAAACCAAAATATGTCTACTGTAATGTTTGAAGAAAGCCAGACAAAAGACGCTCTGTGTCTTAACTTTTAATCAGAACACAGAACAGCTGTATCACAGGCGCAGCAGCCTAACTAACTCGCTCGTCTCTCCCACATTAACCCTATAACTGCAGTGCAGCAAAATAAACAGCAATTTCACAATGATTATAAAGTCTGTGTGCTACACTACATTCTTTATTATTTAAATGAAGTAATTAGAACAACGTCAGTCTACATTAATCGAGACAGTCTTAGGAAATTATCAGAACTACTTCAATAAGGCAGTAATATATGCTTTACCTGGAAACCTAAAGATGCACTAGGTAGGCTATACATCACATATTAGCACAAAAACTTCATATTTTGAGCACTCAATTGAAAACGTACACATAACCTATCAATCTTACTTACAGGTTGTGGTTCGGAGAGTTTGTTAGTCCAAATTAAGAAGATTAGAAGCCAACGAAGATAAAAGCCAAGATTAGAGCAGTCCTTGGTAAAATGACATGCACACAACAAAAGGTTCAAATTGTATTTCTGTGGTATCCTTGAACACAGCGTCTTCTCAACACTAACTAGGAAGTGTTTGTGGGCAGGTCAGACTCTGTTCGTATTTCGCTGGCAGGCGGGGATTATGCAAATGTGTTACCCAGTGACGTATACCGGTAACAGGCAAAAGATTCGAACATATGAAGACTCGTTAAGGCGATTCAGAATCGACTCTCTCTTTTGAGAGACAATATCTTATTTATCATTCACTTTTTTGATTAATAACTTTGCAGATTTAACTGTTGATCGAATAATTTGATTCAGATCGGGACTTCGGCGCTGTTCGCGGGATGTTTTTTTATCCCCACCAGCCATAAAAAATAATTAAACAGAGGCAGGGATGCGTAGACCAGAGGGGGGGAAACTAATATATATATATAGTAAATATATGTATAAATTATATGATTTTGAGAAAAAGTATCTTATACTCAACAAGCTTGCATTTATTTGATCAGTATTGTGAAATATTATTGCAGTATATTATTAATATTATGGCTGTTTATTATTTTAATAGATTTTGAAATGTAATTCATTCTGGTAATAGCAAAGCTGAATTTTCAGCAGTGGCACATGATCCTACTATGCTGATTTTATGCTCAAACACACACACACACACACACACACACATTCTAGCACATGTTCTTATTTGAATATGATCAGATACAGGAATCAAATCGCTTCTGCAGCAGAACATGCAGTCCGTCTGATCTAATCATTAGGGTGAAGACACATGGAAAGTTTAGCGCCTCAAGACAACATTTCACAAGGCTTGGGTTCTTGAGCCCTGACCGCTGACAAATCGGTCAAATTCATTAGCAGTTTCTAACACCGGCCTTGAAGTGTTAGATAAAATTGATAGTTTCCATGGTAACTGATAGTGTTCCAAAAAAACAAGAGTAGGACAGGTTGCAAGTGGACCACTCTTGTTTATAAACGTAGGCTGTGAAAGGTTACACCATTGCAGACATGCATGCTTCAATATGGTTTTATGATGATGCTTTGACTTCAAAAGTATGATATGGATAAGCTAGATAAGGCTGTGTGCCAGATGGCATATTCATTCACTTTTCTTATTAAATGAATGACGTATCACCCATTTCCCACAATCAAACACTCCCATGTTTGCGTTCAGTGACTTCACTGTATCCATAGAAACAAGTCATTGGTGTTAGGCAGGGTGTTAGGAGGCCCTCTTATATCGCATATCATTTAGTTTCACACTTCTAAAGTACACATACACACAAAAACTATACAGATAAGACAAGGTGAGCATGTGGTGAGGGTTCCTAATCACTGAAAATCTCATGATACTCACACCCTTACAAAACAAGAGAAAGGAAGAGAGATGTCTACAACACATTCAAAAGTTTGGAGTCAGTTAGTGTTTTTAATGTTTTTGAAAAAAGTCTTATATGCTCAACAAGGCTGCAATCATTTGATCAAAAAATATAGTTAAAAATAGTAATATAGTCAAATAGTATAATTTAAAAAGGTTTTCGATTTTAACTTATTTTTAAATGAAATTCATTCCTTTCATGGCAAAGCTGAAATTTTAGCAGCCAATTTTAGCTAAAGACTAGATTGTAGAAGTGTGTTATGCTTTTATGCTGATTTGGTGCTCAAGAAGCATTTATTGTTATCACTGTTGAAAACAGTTGTGCTGCATAATAATTTGTGGAAACCATTATACATTCTATTCAGGATTCTGTGCTGAATAGAAAGTTCAAAAGAACAGCATTTAAAAATAAAATAAAAATATTTTGTAACATTATAAATGTCTTTACTGTCTTAAAAAAAAAATCCATTTAAGGCCTTCTTGCTGAATAAATAGATAAATAATCTTAGTAAACCCAAAATTTCATCTTCTTTGTAAGCAACATAAAACTCACAAATATTTCATTGGTATAGATCCTTTATCTGTTCCAGGTCTCTTATGGATGGCTTCTAAAAGTGAGATTATTTTTATTAAAATTCATCATGTCATTTGAACATACAGTTCCTTACATGTGAACATTAACACGACCCATATATGGGTGCTGTTCTGTGATCTACAGCTAGATAAATGGACGTTTTGCACATAAATTATAGTTTCATATTGTATTGTACAAAGATATAAAACTAAACATGAAAACAAAACAACAAAAGTATTCTAAAATTGTCATAATCTCATATGCTGCATACACTGGAAATTACTTACTACATGCATATATTAGACCCAACCCATAGCTGACTGGTCTTTTTATAGCACACATTCACACAAATTCACGCGTGGGCTGACGTTAAAGTCCCAGTTCATCATGCTGTGCTAGCAGTGAAGCACTGTTATCACACTGGCCGGCCTTTAACTATAACAGCCGATGCAAGTCTGTGTCCATGAACATGTGGTCACTTGAATCTTTAGTGTGGTTTGGCTTCTACAGTCAGTGTTATTTAGTGCCATCTCTTGGTGCTTCCTTTCATTTTCTTCCTTCTTCAGTTCACATTTTCCACAGTCACTACTTTCTGTAAAACTTGACATTGCCCACTAAAAAATTAATATCTGTTTATTTTTCCTTCGCCTGTATACTTCAATAATTGATCTGCAGGTTTGTCTTACTGATGTTCCTCATCAAGCATCATATAATTATGCTATTCTTCACTATGCTGTCACAGTTGCACACGGCAGAGGCTCTTTGTGCTACAAAACCATCTGTTTTGGCAGAAAAATGTGTGTATGTGGTCTGCAAGACGTCTGCGTGCGAAAGACTGCTGGGATGGTGAATATTTCATGCAGAGGACTGCCCTCTACAAGCTCGTATGAGCCAAATGGACTACCTCTCCCACTCTCTGCATCGTGTGGAATGTCATATGTTGTTGCTAGCATGCCAAGCCACCCAGCAGACTGTTGGTTAAACTTAGCTATCCCTCTAGGCCCTCGCTCATATGCACTGCTGTGCCTGACCATGGGGGGTCTATGCAGGTGACTAGTTTTTAGATGAGAACCGTGGCCCTATTTCAAACTACAGGGCCAGAGCAACAGCAGACCACAAGATGCTTTTTGCCCCGGCATCTCAAATTGAATTTGAGGGCCAGAGGGATTTAGAAGACCCAGGGCATGGTGCTCATCAACCGGCTTCCTCTCACTCACGCTCCTTTGGCTGACCGACTAACTGTGATTCAGAATTTGATTAAGTGACTCCAGATGCAGCCAGTCAGCACACTCGAGAATCTGTTTCTTGAGTGGTGTTGAGTCTGTGTGTGTCAGGTGCAAGTAGAGAGAAAGTGGAGAAATGGCATACAGATGATGAGTGTATAAAGGTACTATTTTTCTGATGCTGTATCTCCCAAATCTCTTTTTTTTCAGAGCCTTGTCAATGACATCATAGGCAGAGAGAGAGAGATGAAATTATAAAAATATGATTCTTAAGTGTTTCAGACACCTTCACATATTCAGTGGAGCAGTGACAGCTGTAAGTACGGCTGCGGAATACATAAAAGAAACACGAAACCATGAGGGAGTGATAGCTAGGGAGAGTCAGAGGTATGATTTCTCCATCAGAGATGCTTAATTCAAAAAGAAGTGCTCGTCTGTGAGCAAAAATTTGCAGGACCATTATTATGCTGTCATTTAAGCTGTAGAAGTAAGTAGAGATGTTCTGTAAGCAGATGCACACTGGCACCCTCACACACAGTCTGCAGAGAGAGACGCTGATGTGACTTATGTCTAATTTAGACTTCTTTGTTCACAATGATGTTCAAAAGAAGAGAGAATTGTTTTACAGCAACCTGAAAGGAGAAAAACTCGTTTACTTTTAATACCCACATACACACTGATGTTTCATGTTGGCATAGTTTTTATCTGACATAATCATTAGCAGATTCTTTATGGTTAACATGGCAGAGAATGCTTCTACATGCTGGGATTCATTTGCTGAAAAAGAGGCTTTCAAAAACAATCCTTCGGTTTACTTAGAAATCTACCTCTTTAGTTCACTTTAATGTGAATTTTTATATGAATAGATCTCTCACTCAATATTTACAATCTTCAGGATCTCTTGATTCACACACACTG